TCTCAATTCTCTGATGTCATTATATCAGTGGGTCGTTCCATTTTGGAACTGAATCTTTAAAGACAAGATTGTCATGGCTCCTTAAAGGATTAATGCAGAACTATAACCACAGTGAAGACACACTTCAAGCTTATTGTAATTGTTACTAGAAATGAATATTTTTGTGCCTTGCATTATCTGAGCGATTGCACAATGGATTGGCATTGGGTGCCTGGAGAGTGGTGGTTTTTATCAAACTGCTAGAAAATGATTTGAGAAAAAGGGGGAGATTGTACTCAAATACCCCTTGCACCGTAGTCGCTATGATATGCTGTAGTGGTTAGAGTTCTCCTGTCTCCAGGACACCCTTTAAATCTTGGCAGGTTTGGCATGGATGTATCTCCTCCTCTCTCTCTTCAGCCCAATTCTGATGGAAATAAGAGTTGATACACTAAACAAGGGTCAAACAATACCCTATTATTACTCAAGTACCAATACTGATGGAAGGGTAATCAGCATTAGGGAGGGCCCAGGGTCTCCTTTGGCATTTGTTGCTCCGGCAGTGTCAGGGATCCGCGAGCGGCTAGGAGGGGAGGCTGCACGCCACTTGCAGCACTCACCCTCAGTCCTTCGCCGCGGTGAGCGTCGTCTCCTCTCTGCCGCTCACCGCTTGCGTCCTCCATGCCCCCCAGCGGCAGCATGTATAACGCTGCACGCTGGGAGGACACTAAATTATGCAAACACCGGGGTCACGTGAGTGACCCGGCGTTAAAGAAACAGTACCTCAATCACAGTGGGAGGTATAGATATCCCCCACGTGTGATTGTTAATTCTGATTGGAAGTTATCCAATCAGAATTAAACCAAGGGTATTTATACTTACCTTTCCTGTCCCTCAGTGCCCTGTTGTGGTCTTGTGATACCTGTAGCGTGTGTTCTCGTGTTGCTCTCTGGTTTCCGATTATTTGGCTCGTTATTCCGATTATCCTGTCTTCTCCACTCCTTTGACCTCGGCTTGTTTCTCGTTCTCCCGTTTTCTGGCTCCCTTTACTTGGCTTGTCTCCTGACCATTCTTAGTGTGCTTAGCCCGGCCACTCTAAGGACCGGTATAGCACCCTTCCTCTCTGTGTCCTGTTAGCGTGTTAGGTTCCGGAATCGTGACAGGCAGATGACATAAAAAAGAGAATGTCCAGTTCCATGGTTCTACATAACTGTCCTTCTTCAAAATAGCATTATAGCCAGAGGACCCAATGCCTATTGCTATATACAACAACAATAAATCCTATATTACTTAAAACTAAAGCGAAACTCTTCATAAACAGAATTGGGTATAGTAGTGGTTATAGTGAAATTAAGTTAGAATTGTAGTTCTTCTTGGCACCATTTTAATTACTTTATATTCACCTACAGTATTCCACCTCCTAACCTCTCACAGAATTTTGGAGAAATATAACTTCAACATCCATTTGTCCAAGTACATACACATACACTGTTAACAGTGTGCTGCACTGTATGTACTGCTAACCTGTGAAAAATATCGGTTTGACTACTGAGTGAGAGTTGGGAGCATACTCATCCACTCCACTCAATCCCCTACATCTGTACATGCTATAAAAGTGAGTGCTAACTGCAGAAAAAAACAATACTTACCCTATTTAGAACGTGTAATAAGAACCTGGCATTTTAAGTGTGTTTGGGCTCAGAAATTCTAAATGTTATTAGATAAATGCCAAAATAGGTATTAGAATATAAAGTTTGTTAGCGTTCCAAGTAATATATTACAAAGTTTACATTCTTACAGCTTACATTCATATATTTTATATGTTTTTATTGTCCCTTCTATTTATTGTATAGTAGATCTGCCATTCTCTGCATTGATTGATGGTCTGCACAAGTCTATGTTAGAGTTTTTGTAGTGGGCTTATTGGACTGGGACTGATACATTGTTGTTTGGGATTTGTTATTTTATCATGGTAAATTTCCTCATATGATTGTGAGAGATTTCCTCCCCTTTTTTTGAGAGACTATCTTGATTTTTAGTGTTCCTATTACTTGAAGCGCTCACACACTTTATATACACTATTTATACTGCTCTAATTTAAGTCGCTCTATTTTGTTATTAAGCTGCCCTTCCTTATTGGTTTTGAAATATAATTTATTACCTACTTGCTTTAATTTCTTCTATAAACTATTATTATTATTTTTATTATTGCCATTTATATAGCGCCAACAGATTCCGTAGCACTTTAAAATATTATGAGAAGGGGGATTTAACTATAAATAGAACAATTACAAGAAAACTTACAGGAACGATAGGTTGAGGAGGACCCTGCCCCAACAAGCTTACAGTCTATAGGAGGTGGACGGGTAATAGCAATAAAGGTGGGAGTGAAGCAGAGCTGGAGGAGAGAGTAAAAGTGCTGCCCTTTAGGAGAGAGCAAGAGACAGGTATGTGAGATAGAAGTTACTCTGGGAGGCCAGGGCCGGATTAATATAGGGGCTGATGGAGCTCCAGGCCCAGGCCCATGGATTTAAAAAAAAACAAAAAAACACACTACTCTTAGGGATTCTACCTGGCTTTTATTTTATTGGCACATCCAGTATTTGAGGCTGCCTGGCTGGTGCCAATATTGCAGTGATACTGGCATTACAAATGCTGGTATTTTTCTCAGTATAAACAAGAGATTACTATGCAATACCAGCACTGGCCAGTAGGGGTCGCTGTATGTGGAGACAGGCAGGGATAGGAAGTTCCAGCATATCCCTCCCTGCCTATCTATACTCACTGATCTGCAGGGGTGCAGCTACAGAGAGTCCAGACAGCAACTCCCACCCTGCAGAGACAGCCTACAGCTCAGGGAAGTAAGGGATGGGGGGAAAGGCTGGGAGCAATGAGACATACACTGAGACACTAAGGGACACTGGGAGACATTATGGCAGACACTGAGACACTAAGGGACATTGGGAGACATTATGGCAGACACTGAGACACTAAGGGGCACTGGGAGACATTATGGCAGACACTGAGACACTAAGGGACATTGGGAGACATTATGGCAGACACTGAGACACTAAGGGACATTGGGAGACATTATGACAGACACATGGGGACACAGTGTCCCCATGTCTCCCAGCAAGTGTCCCTGGTGTCTCAGTGCCCCCTAGTCTCCAAGTGACCCCTAGTCTCCCAGTGCCCCCAGTCTGCCAGTGTCTCACTGTCCCCATGTCTCCTAGTGTCTCCATGTCTCTCAGTGCAAAAAGTGTCACAATGTCCCCATGTCTCCAAGCTAGTGTCCCTAGTATCTGTGGCCCTGGTGTCTCAGTGTCCCTATGTCTCCCAGTGCCCCCATGTCTCAATGTCCCCATGTTCCTCAACCAGTGTCTCTAGTGTCTGTGTCCTTGGTGTCTGTGTACCCATGTCTTCAAGTGTCCCCTATTTTCCCATTGTCCCCATGTGTCCCAGCCAGAGTCCCCTAGTCTCCCAGTGTCACTGGTGTCTCCGTGTCCCCACGTCTCCCCATCTTCCTAGTGTCCTAGTGACATGGGGACCCTGGGATACATGGGGAGACATGGGGCATTGAGACACTGTGATACATAGGATCACTGGGAGACCTGGGGACACGACACTAGGGGACACTGGGAGACATGGGAGACACTGATACATAGGAACACTGAGACCTGGAGTAATCGACACATGGGGGCACTGAGTCATGAGGGCACTGGGAGACATGGAGGCACTGGGAGGAATCCATCTATACAGCAGAATCAAACTAAGTAGTTTTTTGGTGATTTTACAGCATTTTCTCTTATGTCACTCCTTGTGATTTACATCATGTGATGTCACCCATACATATTTAATTATGCAAGAATCAAAAAGAAATGAAGAGAGTACCTATCAATACAAAACAAGGAAAGAAAAGGAACTATCACTAAGTGAAAACTGTGCAAATAAAGTACAGTTTAATCACTAATAAGATGAAAGAAATGATAAAAATAAAATGAAAATAACAAATAACTTTATTGAATATACGTAATAAAAAGTATAGATATTTAGAATGGAACACCGATAAGCTAGTTAAAATCAATCAAAATAATATCCCATGGTGTACAGATATATTCTGATGTCTCCAATTACAAAAATGTAACACACTGCACACGTCTGCGCAAAGTGAAAAGGAAAAGGGGGCGGAGGGGAGAACGCCTAAGGTAATAGTATGATAACTCAAAAAATATAGAACTAATCCAAGTCTATATATATTGCTGTAGGTAACTAACAGCTAGAAAAAAAAATATATATATATATAGATTGTCAGTGAACAGGGAAGACTAGATGACTGTATAGTAAAATGATGCTAAAGTCTAACCAGAACAGTAATAATATAGAAGTGAACTGCCAAATAGCCGTAAGTATAATGTTAACTAGAGTATATCAGGTACCAGATAACTAATAAAAATGCCTGCCCCATAAGCTAAAGAAACAGTAATTGTCCTGACAATACAGAACTTAGCTGGTGTAGGGCTGTTACTTGAATATAGAGTACAGCACCAAGTTCTGCACTCAGCTACGAAAATAGCATGCTGGAATAGTAAGCAATATGCTGTATGCAAAACTGATACAAAGTTGCTACAGAACTATCGAGTGCTAGATAATACGTTGTAACTTTTCGCGCATCAGACGAGCTTTGGTGAAACGCGCGCGTCAGGGGATCTTTGGCGCTATTTTATCGCCACCTATTTATCATATTTCTTTACACTTTGTATTTTCTTTTTTTAACTGAGGTCTCATTAAGGATAGTATTAGTGGGCGTTAGTCCTGGTGCCCATGAAGGCACATGGGGGGTTTCTAGCCTTAGGACTATTTTTGTTGCACGCTATCATGTTCCGTGCTTTACTTACTGCGATTCTAATATCTTAGCAGTAGCTTTTTACCTAGGCCAATCTCCAGCAGACCCTCCCTCCCAGACCCTCCAACCTCCTGGACAACATCCATGTTGAAGGCGGCCAATCTCCAGCAGACCCTCCCTCCCAGACCCTCCCACCTCCTGGACAGCATCCATGTTGAAGGCAGCTTCAACATGGATGCTGTCCAGGAGGTGGGAGGGTCTGGGAGGGAGGATCTGCTGGAGATTGGCCGGGATGTGTCAGCTGACCGGAGCTCGCCGCGAACGGTTCGTGGAAAACCGCGGTGAGCCGTTCGCGGGAAGTTCGCGAACGGTTCGCGACATCTCTATTCCTGACCCTATAGTGACCCTTTAAGGCAATGCTGACTTTGGTCTCTCTAACACTGTGGCATGTTCCCTTTCTTCTACACTCACTACATACAGCTTTTCTATGTCCCAGACTATATACCAGGAGCTTCTGCCTGCTAGTAAGAAGGTAAGGAGACAAGTGGACCAGCGAGTGCTAGGGGACAGTCCTTAGAAAGCGAAGAGTGAGCGCATTATTAGATGCATTTATGCCAAGCTCAGGGTGCTCTCTGCATAGTATGCGCTTAATTGGCCAGCTGCATGATTGGCAGGCAGCCTGACATGCATTCATGCCAGGCTGGCCTTCTAATTCTTTGGGCAGACATGTCCTCTTTTTGGGCATGTTCGCCCCTTTTGGCAGGTTACGTGATTTGTGTCAGTGGCACAACCTTTTACCATGCCCATTGACTTCCTGCTTGACTGGACACTGCTGTTAGGGGTTATGGATTTACTTGAAAGATGAAAACATAAATTAGAGAGATATTAGCCTGTGGTATGTGTTTTCTTATAGCTGCTGTTTTCTTTCTCTCCCGCACCATCTCCATCAGATACATGACGCCTGGGAGTGTTTTACTGTTTTTGGTCGATATGATTCTGTAATTAGGCCCGTCATAATTGTCAGCACAAGGCCCACTGGGCTCTTAATCTGGCCCTGTGGGAGGCCATAAGCTTTACTAAAGAGATGGGTTTTAAGGCACTTCTTAAACGATTGAAGACTAGGTGAGTGTCTGATGGCGGCAGGCAGGCTATTCCATGTGAAGGGAGCCGTGCGTGAGAAGTCCTGCAAGCATGAGTTGGCCGTACGGGTGTGAGCAGCGGACAGGAGAAGGTCACGGGCAGAGCGGAGAGACCGAGAAGGGGCATACCTATGGATCTGTGAAGAGATATAAGAGGGACTAGAATTATTCAGTGCTTTATATGTATGGGTTAGCACTTTGAATGGACTCCTGCTGGATACAGGAAGGCAATGAATGGACTGACAGAGAGGTGTAGGTTTTATAGTTTACACAATGTGGATCTTATGTAAGATGTTGTACATCTGGGTAAACTGCAATATTGACTTGATTTCACTGATTTAATCTAGATACTAGCTTCTTGTGCTTTCTAAATGTCCTTGCATTAAGTTTGATACCCCTACATCATCATGTACCATGTATATACATTACAGGGTTCTTGTCTGACAATAAATTACTGCAATTCGAAGAAGAGAGACCTTTACTTGGCTGCCAGAAATGTTTTCTTCCTTAAATACAGAATGGGTGCTTTTCTTTCTTTTTGCTTCCTCCTACCTGTATATCGAATGGTCTGCTGCTCTTCTGTCCAAAAACTGTAGCCCTCTACCTCTATCCCGAGATATGAAAGAGTTCCTCACAGCAGGTAAACATTATGAATCCCTTCACTTCAACATAGTTCAGTGGACTTACACACTTTTAGTCCATTGTAGAGTTCTAACTCAAACATGTGACGAATGTTAAAAGGACATTTCAGTTAGGACCTACCTCTTATCTTACACATTGCAGATAAAGATAAAGTATTTGAAAAGCAAACAAAAACCAATAAATAAAACATCAAAAGAACACTCCCCCTTTAAATGCAAATCATCCAGGATTTAAAAAACTTTTAGGCAATTCTGATCCTCCTATTGATATGTTTTATGGCAGAGCTCAAATTTCCACCCTCCACCGGTGAGTGAAAACTGAGCCGTGACGAGTAGGAATTCACCCCTGGTGAGTATGCCATGAACCCTTCAGGCTTGTAGGGCCTAGTAACTATTAAAGCTTGGCTAGACGCATAAGACTTAAAGGAACACTGTAGCATTAGGAATGCAAAGGAGTATTCCTAATGCTATAGTGTCCTGGTGAACATTTAGTTGACCAGCCCCCACTTACAGGGAGAATAAAAGTACTGTGAGTTACCTTTACTCCCTTGCAGGCCAGTCTTCACGACTGGTCCCACCTCCTTGGCAGTGATCATTAAGATCGATGATCTCAGCCAATCCAATGGTATCTCTCAATGAGAGATTAGTGCACAGGAAAACGCAGTGCTGCATCAATCAGATGGTTTCTCTTAGACTAATAGAAATAGCAGAGTTTCTGCTGTTTCCTTGTAAGTGCCTTTAGTGACTGCCTGATTGTCTAGAGGCTCTTAAACCCTGAAATGAAAACATTGCGGTTCTGCATAAGGGCAATGTTTTCAACTGCAGGGATAAAACAAGGGGAAGGGACATGGTACCCAGAAAACTTAATTGAGATGAAGCGGTCTAGGTGCCTATATTGTCGCTATGTTTTGATTTCAGCAGACCATATCACAGATTTCAAAGTGCAGGTACCAGTTGCATCTTCTTGAGATGGTAAATGTGATAGTTTAATTCCACTGTAGCGACAGTACATTTGAAGAATTGATTAATAATGAAAGGGAATGGCTGGATAATTTTGCATATAAATAATTGCTATGATGAATATAACATTTTTATGTGAAGTGATTGCTGTGCCAGATGGAGACATTTTCACTGGAACGCACCTGGTACTTTTTCTCAGGAAATGGAAATGAAATGAAGAAAACAAATTACAGTATTTCCTAAAATAAAAGCTATATAGCGTGATATATCATTTATTTACAGCACTTTGATGTTTATCTGAATTTATAAAACATACAAACAAAATTAAAAGAAAGAAAAGAAAAATACATAATGCACCGTTTCCCTTACTTGTTCAGGAATATGAGAAACGCGACACACCTCCCCCCCTTTTGGGATCTTATAAGATGAGAGCTTGATGCAGGCATGGCATATTTTCTCTAGTGAGCAGTGAGCTTGCCTTCATTCAGGCTAGCTGTTTAAATTAAATGTTTCATCTGAAAATGTTTTCTTAACTATGAGCTTAAATGATAAATTATAGTAGGGACACCTTTCTTGGGTATTTGCGGTACATCGCACATTGCCTGCAAGGTTACAGCTTGTATGTATTGCCTCTCAGAAATTAAGCCTTCTAAAAGGTATCTTGTTATAATACTAGATGATCTGTTCTCTGTCGTTTTTTTGACTAGTAGATGTTAAGGAATGTGCGTCAACTGATCCATGCAATCAAAGGACCTGCGTCTTCACTTTTACATCCAAAGTCTAAATCCCATGGAACAAAGATGTTCTATCAAAGGAAGATGATGAATATTTTTGTCCACAACCGCAAGAGTGCCAAAGATTATGTTTCTTTGTTCTCCAAGGAAGGTCTCACCTCCCAAATTGCCTTTCCCATAACCTATGCACCAGAGTAATTCTATTTTTCATCTTTATTTCCTATTTTATTTCTATACTCATACACATGACATTTCATTACCTGAAGCATCGTGACATTTGCTGGTCATATGTATCCGCTTTTGTATGAGGCTGGTTTATGACCCCTAAAAAGCCTCCGACTTGCTACACCAATCCTTCTAATGTATTAGTGCATTTCGATACCAGAAGGCAATTAATTGCCGTAATATGGACTGTAGGTAACCTATTTACTCCCACATAAGCAAAAAAAAATGTTTTATTAGAGAATTAGTGAAGCATAAAAACCCGATACAGACAAATGTCTCTAAGTATTCATGTTTTGATGAGCTGCCAGTGTTACTTGCAAATGTTGGAGCCAAACTGTGGCTTAGTTGTCACATTACTTATTAAAGTACTGCAAAAGCAGAGATGCCATGACATTATCTTGTTTTCTGAGCCAAGAAGGTTTTGGCATAATGAATGTGTTCATGAGTTAAGTTGCTCATCTTCTGCTGTGCCTTATGCACAATGTGTACAAAAAAACATAACCAGCCCCCACAGGAATTCGTATTCAATTAATTTTTTTTTTGTGTGCTTTGATGTTAGTAGTCTCAAGTTTTTCAATTTTTTTTACTGTCATGTGGTTAACGGAACAATATATAGCTAAACAAAATATGTTTAATTTTAACATTAGGGTGTTCTTTAAAATATAGTTTTAAAAAAAAAACCTTACCTGTTATCTATGTCCTCGCAGTCATGTGGTTAACAGAACAATATATAGCTAAACAAAATATGTTTAATTTTAACATTAGGGTGTTCTTTAAAATAAAGTTTTTAAAAAAACCTTACCTGTTATCTATGTCCTCGCAGTACCCTACTGTGAGGTTATCAATAGTGGTGATCTCTTGTCCAATCAGATGCTTCTCTTCGGAGAACAGCAGCATTGGTCTATAACATATGGAACCCTGGGTGAAAATCTCAAAATAGCCGATACATTGTTCATCTTCAAAAACAAGCTCATCTAGTCTTTTGTGCCCTAATATCTACATAAGTAAATATACAAAGATAAAACAAAAAATTACAACACAAAACAAACATTACTTGAAATATAAATTGCCGTGTGTGAACTTCAGTGGTCATTGACACACTTTCAAAATAAAGTGTTGAAAACAAAATTCAGTTGTGCCTTTGGGTCAAGAAAAGTTACCGTATATACTCGAGTATAAGTCAAGTTTTTCGGCACATTTTTTAGGCTGAAAAGCCCCCACTCGACTTATACTCGTGTCAATCTCTGTATTATGGTAACTTACATTGCCATAATACAGACCAGGACCGCCGGGCTCATTACAAGCCCAGAGGTCCTGTTGGGGACTGGCAGCGAGCTGTTACTTACCTTTCCTGCAGCTCCTGTCAGCTCCCTTCTCTCTCCTCCGGTCCGGTCAGCTCCACTGCAAGTCTTGCGAGAGCCGTGGGGTCAGAGCGTTGCCACGGGTTACTGTGGCCTTGCTCCGCGCGGCACTCGGACCGCGAGACTTGCAGAGGGAGCTGACAGGGGAGCTTACCGGACCGGAGGAGAGAGAAGGGAGTTGACAGGAGTTGCAGGAAAGGTAAGTT